GCTGTGAGCCAGACACCATATAAAGCACCTTAATGTGCCAAATCGCACAAAACCAATTTCACAGATGAGAAAAACGGAGGTTCCAGAAAGTTAAACCACAAGTCCAGTATCACATAACCAGCATGTGGTAGAACAAGTTCTACTCTTTCCATAATTCCAAATTGCATCTTGGACACATCTTTAAGCCTACAGGGCATCAGATAACAGATAAGATCATTAGCCTCAGAGCTGCAGAGTGTGGTCCATTTATCACTGCAAATGTGTTCACGGAACGGAATTCCTGCTGACCTGGCATAAGGATGCTCACGCAGGCACTGCAGAGGTTGCTGAACACAGCAACACTGCACAAGAGACGTGATGGAGCTCCTGCGAGAGTCACCAAAACACTGACATAACTCTGGCAGCAATGGATAGCCAGGAGACAGCCACGGCCAACCACACAACCCAGGGGAGGGGATGAAGTGGTAAAATAGGGGGTTAGAGGAAGAGAGGCTGATTTTAAACAAAGACCAGTTCTTAAGATGAAGTCACTAGTTGAAGAGTATCAGAAAGTAGCTGTAGACACCAAAGAAAGTAGTAAATTCTTAATCACAGCATTCATAATATGAAGGAATTTTAGGGACGATTAGCCCAGCTCCCTCATTTTACTGAATATGAGGATGAAGAGGAAGTAAATAGTAAGAGTTAACGTTATTTGAGTGTCTTCCATATGTCAGGTATTGGGCTAGGTATGATCTCATTTAATCCTATAAGGTTGGTAAAAATTTTATCCCCATTTTGATGATGAGGAAGTCAAGGCCCAGAGAGATGGAGATTCATTCAAAGTGGCACAGCTAGTTAGTGGTAGAGCTAGGGTTAGGATTCAAGCACCTGATGCCTAATCCTGGCTATTTTTCTCTGTACCATATAGCCAGTTTCTCTTCCAACAAGAATGTGTGCAAATAGTCTTTGGAAGAACCAGGCAAATCCAGATCTAAATCCCTTTTTACCTTGGATTGTGTGACCGTCTCTCTCTCAGTTCAGAATCCCTTATTAAAGGAATGGAGATAAGGATATCTTACTCTTGCTTTTGTTGTCAGCATTAGATGAGATAGTGTATATAAAGTACTTATTATACTATCTGGCACATAGTAAGAATACAACAGATTTTTTTTCCTCTTTTCTTTTCCTCCTTCCTCTTGCCTTAGGTGTGGAAGTAGTATCTATTTTATCTTTTTAGTATTTGTCCTTTTAGATAGTAGTCATTATATGCTATAATGACCTCCCAGAGAGACTGACTATATATTTACACACATATCAGGGCCCACACAGTGAAGTATCTGTAGGAATATGTAAAAATAATTTTAACAAATTTAATGCCCAAATGGCTCCTTTGCCTGTATTCCAAATATAATTAAGTTGCGTTTAGCATTGGAGCCACCGGGAGCTTTACAAATGCTGTGTCCAGGCTGCATTCCACAGTAATTCCGTCAGGATTCCAGGGGTGAGGTGCAGGCATTAGTAGTTTAAAAATCTCAAGTGATTCTAGCAAATTACTAAATCAGAAACTCTGGGGTGAGGCCTAATAATATATATTTTAATTAGCCCTCAGGGGATTCTGATACACACTCAAGTTTGAGAACCACTGGTCTAGACACCCAGTCTTCTCCACTCCCTTATCTTCTGTCCAAACCCATCAATGATCGTATCCTACTACTTTTATCTTTTAAGTATTTCCCTCATATGTCAACTAATTTCCATCCTGAGCACCATTATCCATTCTTGCCCAGATAACTGGTTACCCTGTGACTAGTTTTTCTTCCCTCCAGTTCCCTCTTCTTTCAGCAGCCAGTGTGAGCCACAATAAATGTCTAACCACGTCTCTTCTCTGTCTTCAGGGGCAGCCCATTACCTCCAAAATAGAATCTAAACTCTTCAGCCTGGCGCACAAGGCCCTCTGAGGCTGGCTTGGGCTAAGCTCTCTACCCTCCTCTCCTATCACTCCTTGACTCCATTTCAGCAGTGGAGAGAGTCTGGGGGTTTCAAGGTGGATAATGCACATCTAGAGAAGAAATTTGGTCAGAAGAAAATCCCGGGGTTCTGGGGCTGGATCTCTGGTAATCTTGCAGTGGGAGAGGTGTTCTGGAAGTACAGACAGGTTACTCTAGAAAGATGGAAAAGGGTTCCAATTTAGGGAGGCTGACTGGAGCTGCACACACTTTCAACTGTGCTTATTCACATTTTCACCCCCCACTGCTTACACTCAGATAAAAGATCTAGAAATTAGGTTTGAAATGTCAACTGCAGTTTTCCAGAGCTATCACAGGATTCTTAGTCATCTGTAATTCTGACCAGCTGTTCTACAGCACATTTTCTCATGTCACGTAAGGCTGCAGTGGGTTGACCATGGGTCATTTCTGCAGAGAACTCGGAAAAATGGGTGCTTAATGCACATACCATGGCTCCTTTTTGAAGGCATGCTATTCTGCTTATAGATCATCCCATATTCAAACTGGATGTTGTGGAATGGTTCAAGATTTTTTTTTTTAATTTGCTACTTTTAAAGGCTTTTTTAGCCCCTCACCATACGTGCTGTGGTCTCAAATTTCCAATCACACTGGCCTCCATACAAGCCAATTTCTCCACTTGCCTTAGTGCACAGACACACAGCTCTTTCTAGCTTTTGTTTTCTCATCATTGCTCATACCAGTTCCCCTCATTGCCATCAAACCAAACCATATTTATCCTTCAAGGCGAGTTCGTTCACTCATTCATCAAATCTTTATTGCATGCCTTTTAAGTGCCAGGCACCATCCTGGGTACTGGGAGCACAGCGATAAACAAGATGGAGAAGCTCACTTCAGTGCCTCTTGGGGATATTGACCAGTGAATGAGTCATTATAACTCTCCCTAATAAGGGCCCAGAGGGAGAGATCCGGGTACTAGGAGAATATACGGTGGGGTTGGGATTACCAACCCCACTGTATGGAAGGTGTTCCTAAGCAGGTGAGAGCCAGCCTGGAAGAATAAATAGGAGGTAGAGAGTGGAAGAGGTTCCTTGCAGTGAGAACAGATTGGGCTGGAAAGGCGAGCAAAGGTCAGATTAGAAACTGACCTATAGAAACTCCTTCTAAGGCATGAAAGGATTTTTCACTGTTATTATGAAGAAACTGGAAGGAAAGCATTGTGAGCCTTTAAGTGGAGACCTGGTGTGAATCCCATTTATTCTTTGAAGTCTTCTTCAATTATTTAAATCCCAGGTGATTTTTTTTTCCTTCTTTGATTTCCAAAGCAATTACTGGCTGTACTTAGCAGCCTGACTCTGAATTCATGCACTGTATTTTTATTAACCTATGGTCATTCTCTGATGTTGGTTGTTGACATTTTGTGCCCACAGCACACATTCAGGTATTATATTTTTTGCTTGAATGCCCAAAATTTATTTTAAAGCTCCCTGTATTTACAGTGTAATTGCTCCTCCAAGGAAACAATGCCACTTAGTATCACCCATCTGGGCTCTTATGTGCATCAAATTGTGCTGTGCTCTATGCCTCCTCAAATGACCAGATATAAAATTAATTTCATATATTGATCAACATGATGTGGCATATCAGTGAAGGGGACAAGTTTCCCAGATGGTCAGTGTTTAAGAAGAACCATTATCTCAGAAGGTTACCTAACTCTAATGACCTTGACTTAGTGCAAACTCCTCAAGGTCAAGTGGAGTTATCTAATTAAAAAAAAAATCCCTCTCAATTCCTAACATAGTCTTGGATGTAGCACAAGGATTTACTTGAATTTTGCAGTTTTATTACTTAATTTACTCTTTTAAATTATGGAATGTCAGGCATTGAAATATGTATATTCTTTATACATATTTGTACTTTTCATAAGGAAAGTACATCTTTTCCATCACCTAGTTTAAGAAATAAAACATTATGATGATAATTGGACCCCCACTTTACCTCTTACCACTGAAAGATAACCATTGTCTTGAATCTGGTGTTTGTCATCCCCACATATGCCTTTGCGTTTTCACTCCAGTTGTCAGTAGCCATAAACATTATGTGGTATTGCTTCTCTGGTTTTAAAATGTTGTATAAATGATGTCATAATGTATCCTTCTGCAACTCTTTCTGGTTCAATATTATCTCTGAAATTTGTCTGTTTGCAGATACAGCTCCAGTTTATCAATTTAGCTGCCGTATCATATGCTATTGTATGAGTAGACCACATTAGGACATTCATGTTGGCTTCACCTCCTCTCTAAAACACACAGTGCTGCAGCGAACATGTTTGTATTTGGTTCCTGGCATATATATGTGAGAGCTTCTTACACATAGCTGTAGAGATCTAGTATTGGGTTTGCTGGGTTTTAGGATATGCATATCATCCATCTAACTAAATATTGCTACAGTGCTGTTTAAACAATTTACAATCCCATCAGCAGAGGGTGAGTTCCTGTGGCTTCACATTCTTGATAATCACGTCATTTTCAGATTTAGGTATCTGATGTATTTTTCATGCGTTATGTTTACACACACACACACACACACACACACACACACACACACACACACCCCTACACATATCAGAGTTCTTAGGGGAAAACAAAACTTTACTAAATAAGTAGAGTTGAATCTGGAACTTCTCAGAGAGCAATAAACGGTAACTATAAAAATCTCAGCAACTTAGAATTAATTGGATTATTTTTAAATTATACAAATAACATCAGTCAAGTCAAGGACAATTATACAAATAACATCAGTAAGGTCAAGGAAAAGTACAAAATAGCCTATGGTATTATCCCATTAACATGGTCATTTCATTTTTTAATATAATAGATGCTCATTGACTTGGTAATTACTTGTTGCCTTAGCCAAATTGAATGATTTTTAAAACTAATTCACTGTCAGCTAATTTTACATTTTATGTAAATGTTCCAAATATATTTAGTCTTCTACTGGTGTTCTATTAGGGTTGGATTAGACTGTAGTTAAATAATAATGATCAGAACAAACTTCCAAGTCAGACTTGTTTTTATTTTAGCAATTATCTCTTGCTACATTATAATTCCCAAGAACATCTCTGGTCACATAGAGTATCTGCTTTTCCATAATTCTTTTGCTGCAAACATTCAGTATACACAAAGCAAAGCATTCTAAAATATAAACAAAAGATTATAGCACAAAATAGAGGTTCATAAAATTAGCCTCTTATCACTTTTTTCTATTTCACCAGTTCCATTCTTTTGTTAATGTCCTTGTGAAGAGCAAACATTAACTATGGGTGATAGTATCCTGACAGGTGGGTTTTAGAGGACAATCACTGCTAGATGAAATGTTAGGTTCATCCCAGAACCAACGACATGGGCGTGGCTTTCCAGTTTTAAGAATGAGTAGAAGATATTCCTAGGAAATTCCAATTCTAAATGCTTTTAGGGGAGTCCAATCTGAGATACAGATGTAAGGAAAATAATGACAATCTTTTTCAGACAGATACATCATCAAAATCGATGCCTGAACTGTGCAGAGCTTTCAAAGAAAAGTTAACTCTTATAGGTAGGTTTCCCCAGTTCTCAGGAGAAATGAAATCACTCCGGGTTTGTCAGGTCTTCTTACTGATGTCTTCACTCAGAAAATGCTTCTCCTCAGATTTGGGATGGAGAATAAATTTAGCATGCTATTAGCCAATTGTTTTTGTGAAAAGTCCCTGTCGTTTACCACTACCTCTAATAGATGATTATACATTCTGGTTAGAACCACATGGGATTATACATGTCAGTGGAGCTATCTTCTTTTCTCCTATGATGACCTTGTGTCTTCACCATCTGCAAAATATAAAAATATTCACTGCTTTTAATGTCATTATATTTGTTCAAAATGTTCCTCCAGGGTCTGCTCCTTTATATGCCACATATAAAACAAACATAATATTTTTGTCATTTTCAATGGTCAAAATAGAAGTCCAGCTCAGGGTGATGTGATAATAGAAATAAATGAACAATATATAAGGAGAGTCATAGACATAATTCTTCCTGGAAGAATGCTGGTACATTAATGATTTGACATTCCATGCTTAGCAAATTTAGTGGTTGGTATTAAATAGGTGCTTGAAGGGGTATGCAACAGACAATATCAAGGTTCCGTCCAGAATCCTTCTAATCTTTCTTTTTTTAACATTAATTTCTAGGACAATATTCCTTCATTTTCTGTCTTCCCCTTCTTGGCCTCCCTCCCCAACCATTGCCATATGAGCTTTTACTTCCAACATCAGCACCTACTACTCTTCGAGGACTGCTGTTAGCTACTGGACCTGTTTTAACCACATGCACCATGAGTACCTGGAGTTTACATTCCTCTTGACAGCAAATCTTGACCAATCAATAATCTGGGAGGAAGTAAGAAAGTCCAACTTTCTCTTTATCCAATTTGCCAGTCTGTGTCTTTTAACTGGGGCATTTAGCCCATTTACATTTAAGGTTAATATTGTTATATGTGAATTTGATTCTGGTATTATGATGTTAGCTGGTTATTTTGCCCATTAGTTGACACAGCTTCTTCATAGTGTTGATGGTCTTTACAATTTGTTATGTTTTTTGCAGTGGCTGGTACTGGTTTTTTCTTTCCATATTTAGTGCTTCTTTCAGGAGCTCTTGTAAGGCAGGCCTGGTGGTGACAAAATCTCTCAGCATTTTCTTGTCTGTTAAGGATTTTATTTCTCCTTCACTTGTAAAGCTTAGTTTGGCTAGATATGGCATTCTGGGTTGAAAATTCTTTTCTTTAAGAATGTTGAATATTGGCCCCCACTCTCTTCCGGCTTGTAGGGTTTCTGCAGACAGATCTGCTGTTAGTCTGATGGGCTTCCCTTTGTGGGTAACCCGACCTTTCTCTCTGGCTGCCCTTAACATTTTTTCCTTCATTTCAACCTTAGTGAACTGATAAGCAACTTCAGCAAAGTCTCTTGCACATTGATACAAAATCAATGTGCAAAAAATCACAAGCATTCCTTTACACCAACAATAGGCAAGCAGAGAGCCAAATCATGAGTGAACTCACATTCACAATTGCTACAAAGAGAAAAAGATACCTAAGAATACAACTTACAAGTGTATGTGAAGGACCTCTTCAAGAAGAACTACAAACCACGGCTCAAGGAAATAAGAGAGAAGACAAACAAATGGAAAAACATTGCATGGTCAGGTATTTCATAATCAATATTGTGAAAATGGCCATACTGACCAAAGTAATTTATAGATTCAATGCTATCCCCATCAAGCTACCATTGACTTTCTTCACAGAATTAGAAAAAAAAACTACTTTAAATTTCATACGAAACAAAAAGGAGCCCATATAGCCAAGACAAACCTAAGCAAAAAGAACAAAGCTGGAAGCATCATGATACCTGACTTCAAACTATACTACAAGTCTACAGTAACCAAAACAGCATAGTATTAGTACCAAAACAGATATATAGAACAATGGAACAGAACAGAGGCCTCAGAAATAATGCCACACATCCACAATCATCTGATCTTTGACAAACCTGACAAAAACAAGCAATGGGGAAAGGATCTCCTATTCATTAAATGGTGTTGGAAAACTGGCTAGCCATATGCAGAAAACTGAAACTGGACCCTTTCCTTACACCTTATACAAAAATTAACTCCAAATGGATTAAAGATTTAAACGTAAGACCTAAACCCAGAAAAACTCTAGGAGAAAACCCAGGCAATAACATTCAGGACATAGGCATGGGAAAAGACTTCACGACTAAAACACCAAAAGCAATGGCAACAAAAGCCAAAATTGACAAATGGGGGGATCTAATTAAACTAAAGAGCTTCTGCACAGCAAAAGAAACTATCATCAGAGTGGACAGGCAACCTACAGAACGGGAGAAAAATTTTGCAATCTATCCATCTAATATCTAGAATCTATGAGGAACTTAAACAAATTTACAATTAAAAGAAAACAACCCCATTAAAAAGTAGGCAAAGGATATGAAGAGACACTTCTCAAAAGAAGACATTTATGTAGCCAACAAACAAATGAAAAAAGGCTCATCATTACTGGTCACTAGAGGAATGCAAATAAAAACCACAATGAGATACCATCTCACGCCAGTTAGAATGACGATCATTAAAAAGTAAACAACAGATGCTGGAGAGGATGTGGAGAAATAGGTACGCTTTTACATTGTTGATGGGAGTATAAATTAGTTTCAACCACTGTGGAAGACGGTATGGCGATTCCTCAAGGATCTAGAACCAGAAATACCATTTGACCCAGCAATCCCATTACTGGGTATATACCCAAAGATTTATAAATCATTTTACTATAAAGACGCATGCACACGTATATTTATTGCAGCGCTAGTCACAATAGCAAAGGCTTGGAACCAACCCAAATGCCCATCAATGCTAGACTGGATAAAGAAAATATGGTACATATACACCAGGGAATAATATGCAGCCACAAAAAACATTGAGTTCATGTCCTTTGCAGGGACATGGATGAAGCTGGAAACCATCATTCTCAGCAAACTAACACAGGAACAGAAAACCAAACACTACATGTTCCCACTCATAAGTAGGAGTTGAACAATGAGAACACATGGACACAGAGAGGGGAACATCACACACTGGGGCCTGTCGAGGGATGGGGGGCAACGGGAGTGATAGCATTAGGAGAAATACCTAATGTAGATGACGGGTTGATGGGTGCAGCAAACCACCATGGCACATGTATACCTATGTAAAAAACCTGCACATTCTGCACATGTATCCCAGAACTTAAAGGATTAAAAAAAAAAAAAAAGAAAAAAAGAAAGCCTAACTCTCTTGCCTCAGCTCAGAACATCTCTGCAGCCTAACTTAGACGCCTGCGTTTCCTTGAAGGATCAGGCTTAAGCTGCCCTCTATGGGACTTCGCCTGAGATGACACCCTTATTTGCCTTCCACTCCTTCCCTGTCTTGCTTCCTTCCTTACTGGTTCTCCTGTGAGGACTCCCTCAATAACTCACATGCACAGAAATTCCCAACTCTGGGTTGGCTTCAGGGGAATCTGGTCTAAAACAGAATCTTAGAGAGGCTCCAGCCTAGTTGTCTTAAAAAATTTTGCTTACAGCCACACCTCAAAGGAAAACAAAACATCTACTTCTTGCCTTGAACATTTTAAATATCTATTTTTTTCATTACGAGTTTAAGTGGTTGAAAAAGATGTACGTTGTGACATATTATAAAAACTGACATTTAAAAATAAAACCTCAACATTTCTCTCTTAACTTATCCAACAGAGTCTACCATTATTTACCAAAAATATATGCAAACATGCTCATGTTTAAATGTCAGATAGTTTACAGTGTTCATTTCTCTCCTTAAATTTGTATTTCCCTTCCACTTTCCCCATAGAATTTCATCCTTCCACTTTCCCCATAGAATTTCATTCTAACTCTAATATGTTTATATGCTTTAAAATATTTTGTTTGCCTAATCATAATTCTCTGTAAAAATATATATATTTAAGTGTATGTTCTTATTTTCTATGACGATAAGCTTCTATGTATTAACACTTTTTAAAGATGAATTATCATTAGAATTTATCAAAACAATATATATATTTAAATTTTGGTAATTCTATTAAGACAAAAAGTAAACATTTTTGCTCAAAATACATTTATTAATGAAATGGATAGTTTTTCCCTGTTATTTTTACTTATTACTGTTTTTGCTAGAGTAAGGCAAGATTTAATATCAGAATTGATAGAATTATTAATATCTATTGTTATATATTTAAGCACTGATAAATATTATTTATATCAATGGATCTTGAAGGACTTTTATCAGAGCAATGTCAAACAACTATTTGACTTCTTTCTGAATCATATCCCAAAAATCACCCAGTATTCTTTCAAAAAGTTTTACAAAAGAATCAGTTATCTAGTCATTTAGATGACATTTTCTAATTTCTGAGAAATATTTTTTTAAAAGTGCTTTACCAAATTTATCAAACGGCTATTAATTATACCCATTACTCTTTTACGGAGAGGCACTGTATTTATCTTGAAAAACTAAAATGTTTGGAAAAGTTTAATATTGCTAAATTAAGCACACTTGACACTTATTAGTATATTTTTTGATAAAATATTTTAATCATCTTTTCTGTATGTTTTTACTTCAGAATTTTGAAACTTCAATTTAGTTCATTCACTTTATGAGAAATGTTCCCCATGTAGCCTAACTGGAAGAAATGGTCTTTATTGTAAAAGCCAATCCACACACGCTCTGCCTTTGAAAGAGTCTAATCTCATCTCTCAGTTGAAATAATTATGGTATTGGGGGTTCCTGTGACGATATCTTACTATGATTCTATCCCAAGATAGGTTGATAGCTCTTGCCATAGTGGGTTTTTGTTTTGTTTTCTGTTTTGTGGCTTTTGTTTTTTGTTGTTGTTTGTTTTTGTTTTTTTGTTTTTTGCCTGACAAAAGAATGCTTGCTCTCTGTTTTAGTCTATTTAGGATGCTATGACAAACTACCATAAACTGGGTGACTTATAAACAAGGCAAATCTATTTCTCTCAGTTCTGGAGACTGGGAAGCTTATGATCAATGCACTGGCCCATTCAGCATCTAGTGAAGGACCTGCTTTCCGGTTCAAACGTGGTGCCTTCTCACTAAATTTTCACACGGTAGAAGGGAAGAGGAGTCCCTTTGTCTCCTTTATTATAAGGACACTGACCCCTCCATAAGGGATCCACCCCCACGACTTAATCACAAATGTCCTAACTCCTAATACCATGATCTTAGGGGTTAGGATATCAACATATGAAC